GGGTCCTCTTTCGCTCCCTTCTCCTGGCCATTTCAACTCAAGTCCAGCCTAAGGATCAAGCCCAGTTCGACTCAGGATCATTCTCTGATGGAATAGGAACACGAGGAAAAGAATATCGGGATACGGAGATCCAATCCTACTAAAATTGTATTTACCAAAATAGTAGAAGACCCCTTCCTCACGTCACCGCCTCACCGTCTTTGTAAGCCTATATAATGAAAACCCCTTACACATAAGGGGCATCACATTTAGACCTCACATATCTGCCTACACACAATGCTCTCTCTCTTTCTCACTCTCTAAGCATTGTAATATTCCTGGAGAATACTCTTTCCGGGGATATCACCCATTAATAAAAGACTTAGACCTCCGCTGCCGTTTATGAGAGTGGAGTAGGTCACACGAACCGAACCACTATATATCCCTGTGTTAGATATTTATCTATTGTTTTAGCATTAATTGTATGTTTATTGCTCATTGATTGTCTCTGTTCATATTCTTGATTGTTAATCTTGTATGAGATCAATTTGTGCATCATCAATAGCTCTAGACCCTAGATACTGAGATTGCCTGATAATTTTCTTCCCTTAGGTTGCACTTAATACATTACCAATATATTTTATTTTTTTATTCCAAGTAGAACTTACATGAAAACTCTAAGTTTTAAAAAAATTAATAATTAATTTGAATTTGAACCCCTAATTCGTTATTTTTTTTTATAACTTCTCATAACCGCCAATTTTTTTTTTTTATTTTTTTGTTTCTTGTTTTTAGTGTGTTTTGTTAAATTATTAGACATCCAACATTCCAAAGTTGACAAATTTCTGCAGTTTGTTTTTAGTTATGCTTTTGTCATTGTTTATCTTATATTAAGATAGTGCGCTTCTATTCACTTAAGAATTCCACAATTTCTCTGCTGGGAGAAGAGAAGAAATCAGTATGAGAAGAATAATCTATAAATTCCTTATTTGCCTCACATTCTTAATTTTTGATATTGATAGGATATGTGGGAATCAATACGACATGCAGGTAGTTTTAATTTTGAGAACTTGACTTTGGTAATCATTAAAGAGGTAAAAATATTGAAGTTTACATCTTTTGTGAGGTAAGACACAAACTTTTGGATTCTAATTACGATTGGTCTCAAAATGTAATTGATCCTATAAATATTAAAATTTTATCAAGTCACATTACAATTTTAGGTTTCAAATTTTCAATTGTGGGCAAGAGGAGCACACTTGGTTTTTGGAAACACTCATTTTCAAGAGAGAGAGAGAGACCACTTAAAATCCATCTTAGCAATGATGTGGCATAATAACCTTAAAGAAGGAATTAGATTCAAAAGGACGTTAGTTTGGACATTTATTTTAAGGAAATTTGGTTGGGGGTACTATTTTTAGAAATTATTTTGCTTTAAATATCCCAGCCAAACTTATACTCCATTAAATTATCTTTTTATCAAATAATTGTCATTAAGTACACATTTTAAATTCACTATTTTTTGTACTAGCTACCTAATTAACCCTACCATAAATATGGTCTACCTGATTGTTAGTTTTTATGTTTTCAAATATCTAAATATTAGTTTTGAAATTTTCAATATTTCTTTGCTATCTTCATTTAATATTGTACACCTGATTAACAGTTTCTATATTTTTAAATTTATAAAATAAAGTAGAAAGAATTTGAATTTTGGAGACAAATAATGGTCTAAATCGTTTCATGACAAAAAAAAATATCATTTAACGAACGACGTTATCCGAAACTGTCTCGAGTTATTGACGTTTCAGATCGTTTTGATCTAACGTACCATATTAACTCTTTAAAAATATTTTTGTTGCTCAAAATTTATAGTTTCCAAAATTTAATTCTCTCAAATCTTTTTTTTAAATCAATCAAATCTTTTTCTCTCTCTCTTTGTCATTTTACAATATTTTCCTCTGTATCTCACGAAAATATTAGATAGTGTTTGATTCAAGCAAATACTACATCTCTCTGTAGATAGATAATATATATCACAGAAAGAGATAGTATATTACTAAAATGTTATTCTGTATTTCTCTCTAAAGAAAAATTATTTAATAAATATTAAATAGATAGTATATATCACAAAAAAAAAATTTCTGTATCTCTTTCTTTCATTCAAGCAATACTACAAACATGAATCATACAAATTTTAATAGTCAATTTTATTTTTTCCAAAATCAATAAAAAAAAAGTCATAACTTGCAAAAAATCTAATTTAACAAAGAAAATATGCTTAACATGTAAAATATATAAGATTAAATTCAAGTTATTTGACAACTCAGATATCAAGAAATATATTAAAAAAATATACTTAACATTTAAAATATACAAGATTAAATTCATTTACAAACACGAATCATACAAATTCAATATTTATTGAACAACACAAAGTAACAATATTTACTAAATAATCCAAATCTAAATACCCGAGAAAAATAATATAAAATTACAAGCGAGATAAATGATACAAAATTATAAGCAACATCAATCATACAAATTCAATATTTAGTGAACAATACGAAACAACAATTTTTACTAAATAATTCAATACTAAATAACATTTAGTTTAAGAAAATATACTAAGAATATAAATAACCTAGAAGAATGATATAAAATTAAAAACATTACTATAAATTCGAATCATACAAATTCAATAGTCAGGTTGTATATTCTGAAAGTCGATTGAATTTCTGATAGTTATATTTGGTCATTGACAACATATGTAGACTTAGTTTATTTGTAGGAGTATTGTTTTAATTTTCATTCTATTAGTTATGAATTCTGTTATTATTTAAATAAAGTTGATTATGAATGTTAAAATCATGTATTTTGAATCAAAAACAGAACATTGAATATTGTCAATTGATATAATTTTTCAAATGTTTGAATTATTATGTTTCAATAGTTATAACATAATTTTCGTGGCGTAACAATTTAATATGAAAATATATGTTATGCATGGAAGTTGATGTTATAAAAAATATTAGCGGACTCATTTTATTCATCGTTTACTACAATGTTGTATTTTACTTTACATTTATGTATGAGTAAATATTTGTAACTAATTTACGAGTAACATCGTGCCTTCAGGCATAGACAATTGCTAGTATTTAAATATTAGATGTGAGACTTTCAGTACTTCTTATATGCTATCTACCATTTGAAATTTGAAAATTAAAACGAAATTAATATTTCATTATCATTTCTCACTCTCTCCCCCCAATTTTCTCTCTATGAAAGAAGTACAGAAAGGTGACATTGGGTTCGATCTCAATAGTGCCTAACCAAGAGACTATGGTTCCGATGGACAGGAAAAAGAATCAAACGATTGAGCTGGTTGCTTCAAGTGGTGGAGCCCTCGCTTTTGGCCATGTTATTGAATAAGGCTCTGCTTTCAGTGAGGCTTTCAATTACACTCGGGCTTACACCTCCGATCGCAAGGTTCTTGGAAAGACACCACATTATCAAGAACAATGTATGACTTTTTATTCCATTATCATCTCAAGTTCTCTCTTTTTGTCACATTTTAGTGCTTTTCAAGATTCAGGGTTGTTTATCATTTTTTTTTTCATTTGTCACTACTTTTTTTTTCTCGTGTCACTGTTTTTTCTTTGTGTCACTATCTTTTTTCCTATGTCACAATTTTTTCGTAGTGTAGACTAATATTATGATGCAATTGCATTCTAATTTATCATGAGAGAGAGAAAGAAAGAATCCTAATTTTAAAAAATTTTAAATTTAAATTTAAACTCTTTAATTGTAAAAGAATTTCAATTTTGGATTCTCAATCTCAATATATATATCACATGTTTAAATTCAAGTATGATATATGGAGAAAGATAAAGAGTTCTAATATTATAAAACTCTTAAATTTAGTTTCCAAGTGTGTTTTAATTGTAAGTAAAGTTTCCTAATTGGTTTCACGAGAGCATTTATTTTGTTGTTAGGGGTCTATTACATATTTATTCCCAAATGGACTTAGCCTAATAATTATTAAAATGTGTGCTGACTTCCAAATGATTTGTTTTTAATCGAAAGTGTTATTTGGGGGAAAAAAACTCTATGTACGGGCCCGGTTTTCTAATCAACCAAGGTTGGCTTAACCCTAACAAAGTCTAGGGTTTAGGTCTCATGCTTAAAGAAAATCTCAAAATTTTTAGGGGTTTTTTTGGAAGTCGGTACATCTTTTAACACTTTAATCCGACATTTAATCTTTAGTTTTATCAGTTTTTATTATTTAATACAATCTATTCTTTTTATGGGACTTAATTTGGAAACTTAATCAGGAACCTAATTCATTGTGCCATTAAATTCGTCGTGAGTTCTAATATTAGATGAAGCTCATTTCTACTCTAATTGTTGTATTGAATTAGGTCTACAAATTAAATCTCATATTAAAGTATAAAACTGAAAGTTGAACACTAAAAATTGAATTCTGAATTTTATGCGTTGAATGCTGAATTTTTTAATTCACATACTATTTTATATAATTGAAATTTAAGTATTAAATTGAATTAAACTATTTGACAAATATAAGAAGCAAAAGTTTGAAAATTATTATTATTCTAAATTTGTCATTCTTTTTAACCATCGTTTCACAACTAGCTTATTATTACCACCACCATCACAATGACTTATATTTTCAACATTAAGTGCTAAGTAGGTGGCTCGTTATTTAAAATTTTAGCATATTTTTAAGAAGTGTTTAAAATATTAAGTGGTATGAGTTTTAGGTTATCAAACGAATTTAATTAATTAAGTACTTAAAATATTTAATTTTAAGTTTTAAGTGGTACTATCAAACAACCCCTAAGTTCGCATAACATTTTCCTTCTTTTATAATACGGTAATCAAACTAGAAGTAAATGTATTATTTTGCAATGAGCATCTTTATTATTACAAAATTACACCAATTGTTATTGCATATTATTCCATATATAGTAGCCTAAGGCTTGAAAACTCTAGACTGTAAGTTAAGCTGCAAAGACAACTATCTTCATCCCAGAACTACAGTGCCCTGGAAATGAGCAGGTGAAGTAGTTCTGTCCCTTTGCAAGCTTGATCTGATCTTTTCCCGAAGAGTAAGTTTTGGCTCCGGCAGGGATGTTACAGCTATCGTATGCAGCCTTGCTTACAACAACCACATTGTGCATGCTTGGGTTGTAGTTGAACACTGCAACAAAGACACATGAGAATATAAAAATACAGTTCATATACAAGACGTTCGACACTTCAGGATAAGAAAAGAGTTAGACATCTGTAGGTTTGATAATTTCAAGCACAACCCGCAAAGGGGACACGAAAATGACACAGAATTTGTAAATTTTGAATTTTGTTTTTTAACGGGTTGAAATGATAAATAGGTGGACTTGTTAGACTCGTAAAACAAATGTGTTGTCATAAACTCAACTAAACCTTACATGAACCCGCTTAAAATGGCCTATAGACGCCATGGAGACCCACACCACACAAATTCAGGTACACACAATTATTAATAAGACATTCATGGTTTGAGGTACAGTATCAAAATTAAGCACATACTTTTGCAGTTACAACACAACTTTTTTTTAGGCTAAATTACAACAACAACAAAAGTTAGAATCAATCTTAAAATGGTACGATCGCTCCCAATAACCCCTTTTTCTAATAACTTAACTGAAAGAAATTGCAATTTTTTTCGGTATGTAAAAGAAAGGGAAAGAAGAAGAAATTGTAACTTAACGGATAAAAAAAAAGGGGTAAAACCACATTACCGAGAGTTATTTTTTAATATCGTACCATAATTTACATTTTTTTATATAAGAAATTATAACTTACCAGATAAAAAAAAATGTAAATTGCGGTACAATATCAAAAAATAACTTGTTGGTATTGTGGTTTTAACCCTTGGGGATGAACCCCTAAGTTCAGATAACATTTCATTTACCAAGAATGTCACCAGCCTTAAAGCTCTTCCCATTAGGCCAGCTGCTAGCTGCAAAACCCCAACCTTGAGAATCTCCCACTGTAAAGGTGGTTGCATTAGCAATATTGCTATGCAGCAAAAAGCACAACAATAAGGCTGTGACAACAATTGCAATACCCTCCTTAGTAGCCATTATGTGAAAAAAAGAAAACAGAGTTTAATAAAAGATAAGGAAAATAAATGTTTTTTTTGGAGGGTAGAAGAGTAGAGAGAGCTTTGATGTGGCTAGTTGAATGAAGAAGTTTCCTTTTATAAGGTTTTGTGGCCAAGTTACTGACTCAAAAAATTATGAGTTTCATTAAATCAGTGCTAAATATTTCTTTAGATTATAGCAAATGAGGCCTCATGGATTATGGTAATTTCAATCTTAATTTCATGATATTTGATAATTTTTTTATATTTCTTAAGATTATTGTAATCTCATTCCTAATTTCATGAATTACTATGTTTGGGTGGTTAATGAGTTGGTAATTTATATCGGGAATAATGATAGTGGATATCTTAAATCTACCTCAACGGTGGTAATATCATATCCAACTTAATTTGGTATTCTAAAAAAGAAAAAAAAAGTCAAATTCAAAGTCCTTTACAAAATTTAGTTTGTTGCTAAAGTCAAGCTATTTTCCTAAAATTATATTCTTTCCTAAAATAAAGTTCGTTACAGAAAAATATTAATGAAATAGATATTCATTCCTATACTATATTATTGACAATACCAAACATTAAATAAAAGATTACTATGATATTTGAAACTCAGGTATCTCTTTACTAGGAATAAGATAACCGTTTTTAATTGAGATTACTGTCATCCAAACGAGGTCTTATTGATTTACCTAAACTTTGTTTAAATTCGTGGAAATTTGATAAATTTTCATTGTTTTGCTAAATAGAATTGGATAATTTCAGTTGCCAATTGCCAGTTGAACTCTTGGTATTATTCTGGATAGTGTGTGCTTTTGACCAAACAGGCATTAAAGTGGTTGGATATTATCATAGGGTGGCTCTGGCTCACCAATATTAAAAATTTTCTACAAATTTTATATTGCGTTATAGTTCTTTTGTTAAACAAGTGATTTTTTTTTAGAGAAACTAATATACAAAATGAGATGTTTTTTTTTTAAAATACTTTTATATAAAAGTCATTATTTTTTATTGTGTCCGAAAGAAAAGTGTCCAATTAGATGGAAATTAAAGACATGGTTAAAAACTAGTTTTCAAAATGTCTCCTATGATGATCAAGAAACTAAATTTCGTTTCGAAATGATTGAAACATTTTCGTTTTTATAGAAACCGAAACGAATCATTGATTTAATATCAAAATTTCAATGTTTCGAGATGTTTCGTGGTGTTTCAGTAGGTTTTAAGGTATTTCGACATGTTTTCACCTATGTTTCGGAATGTTTTAACCAATGTTTCAGAAATAAATTTTTAATTTTTTCTTTCTTTCCATCTTGTTTCTGAAATATTTTTGAAATATTACCAAATCATTTATGTTTTCAAGCTCCCCAAAACTATGCACCGAAATAAAATTTTGATCGTTGATGATAATATGCAGTATTGTGGACGAGCGCGATCCGATAATAACATTGGTCCAAGATACTAAATTTAGGTTAGTTATTTAAAATAGAGTTAACTACTTATTTAGCTCATGAACTATATTAATTGTGTCAATCAAACTCCTAAACTATGTTTTATATCAATTTAGCCTCTAAACTATTCAATCTGGCTCAATGTGACTTTTTTTTAAAAATTAGCTGTTAACTTAGACGAAAATCCTCACGTGTACATCACTGGCCCCTAAACTTAACATAATCTTTGACTCATGTAATGTGCACGTGAGAATTTCTATCAAAGTTATCGACAAATTTTGATGGAAGGTTCATATTGAGTCAGATTACATAGGTTAAGAGCTAAATTGGCATAAAATATAATTTAGAGGTTTGATTGACAAAAAAGATACAGTCCAAGGATCAAATAGGAAGTTAATCTATTTCTATCTAAATCTATATATATACTATTTATGAATGTCAACATCTACAAAAAAATTTAATTTCTTATTTTATCTCTAATTATTATAATAAAGTCAATTATAACCACTAATATATTTTTATCTAATTTTTGTTTTTTACACTTATTTGACTTTCGACTTATTTTGAACTCTTTTATAAGAACATCTAAATCCTTTTGAACTTATTTATTAGTAGTATAGATACATACAAATTATCTATATCTATATAAAGAAGTAAAGTCTTATATATATAATTATTATACACATGTAGCTACCAAGTTTAATTTCACGATCAAATATATGGTATATTTTATTTTTGGTATGTAATAATATCATCTATTTAAAAAATAATAATAATTCTATAATATAATTAAATGTGCAAATGCCTAAAGGGGTCGAAGAGATACCTAAATAGATGACAGATTAGTTACACAAAAATTTATTGAATAAATCAATAATTTAATTTAGTAATAATTAAAATACGAATTAATTATTCGACAACTAAATTATTATTTACTTTAATTATACATATAAATTCATATTTTTCTCTAAAAATAAAATTATATAAATATATTTATGTGCAACGCACGTCGTGCATTGTTAATTCTTTAAAGTAAATACAATAGAGGAATGAGATTTATTAAAACTCTACTTAGAACGAAAATAAATATAACATGTTTGTAGGAAACTTACTGGGTATTAAAGCCAAAAAGATTAAAAAATAAAAGACAATATAGAAGTTATAAGGTTTATTACACTAGGAAGGATAGCCACTGACATTATGTTTGGGATGAGAAGAAATCAGGACCTTAAAACAGGTAGTAGAAAATTGGATGGAATAGTATGAACTAAACTTGTAATAAAGCAAACAATAATTAAATTTTAATAATGCTTTTGCACCCTAATTAAGTTTTGATAAACACACTCCAACTCAATTTTAAGAATGAGCAATGCTACAAAATCAAAATGAAATTCAAACAATTACAACTTAAATGTATATTATTTCTTAGATGAGTGAGTCACGTCAATTTTTTCAGTGAGACTCACTCATCCCACCCTCGTTCAAAAAAATTCTGTTAAAAACATTTGCACAAAAGTGTGTGTGTGTGTGAGAGAGAGAGAGAGAGGGAGAGTACATACGAGTAGACTTTATGTGTCATGTAGAAAAATTCAGTTGTCACGAGACATTATATGATGGACATGAATTTGGAGGTAAAAAAGATGTCCAATCTTATATCAGATTTTCTAGTGACATTTATTTCATTACTAGGAGTAACTTGTGTCTGAAAGCACAATAAGTAAGAAGTGATGGATTGGGATGAAAATTCAATGTAAATGATTTTGAGAAAGATGTTGGTGGCCGTTGGATGAATCTATTTGAAACTGTCATATGAGTTTATTAAAGTTTGTCATATTTTATATTATAAATAACAAATTTAAACTACTAATAAAAATATCTTAACATTAAAAACTTTTAACCAAATCACAAGCACGCAGCACATATCAATTATGATGACCAAACAGTAACTAGTTCACGACATCACCGGAGAAAAAACTTTGGGACCTTTTGCCCTAAAGAACCCAATCCCCCTTCTTGCACTTTAGCAAAAACCAATACTGGAAATTTTGTAACACTACACGGGCAACTACTAGTCTCCAATATTATTAACCAACTCTCCCCGAAGACTAGCTAGTAGAAATTTTGTGCACACAACATCTATTTTTCTTTTACCATCAACAAGGCTAGTAGAGATTCTATGCATCCCCATAAGGACCACGACATCTTCTATCCTTTTTATCAATTAATAGAGTGCATTCAATTTTTTTGAATCTGTCAGAAATTAGAAGAACAGGGTTGTTTCGAGACACCGAATTATAAAAGATTCAAGGGTTTAAAAACCATACTTTCATATCATGATGAGATCAAATTATTTGATATGCGAATCAAGTTCAAAATAAGTTCAGGGTTTATAATAAAACATCATATCTTTAAAGGTGAAGAATTATTGTCAAAATTCCAATTTAACCCACTGAGTAATGCAATAGAAGATTTAACCATCATATAATCAAAGTAGATTTGATATGGAATCCCAAAGCATGCATGAAATGTATCATTCATAGTGAATGGGAAAAGAAACCATGCCTTCGTTCAATTCCAATTTGGATCAACACCGGACGCTATCAAGATTAAGTAGATTTGGTTCTTTTAAATTCATCATATAATTAAATAATTAGATCCTACTTAAACTCGAAACAGTCCTAGGATTGAAAAACCAAGAGGTACAATGTCCGAACTCAGTTCGAAATTGCGTAAAATGGCGAAAATTATAACTATATTTGAATGAAGTCAGAATTGGACAAACTTATGCTGGTTGGAAATGGAAAGCCCTTGAAAAAAGAAGTATTTTAGTCAAAACCACACCCCAAGGGGAGCCAGAATTTTTGCATTTGAAAACTCTATCTGCTGGTGCCAAGTTAATAATTCAATCTGTTACCCAAACTCACAAATTTGAGCTCCAAAGTTGCAACTTTCATGACCAAAATCCGAAGCTTCTACAACTTCAAAATTGGCCAATCAAACATTATTTTTTTTCAAAAATTCAACAGCATATTTGAGTTCCTTGACCCCCAAAACTTAAGAGTAAGCCTTCTTTCGAAATAAGAAAACCCAGAAAGACAAGTTTGGTAGATTTCGGGATTTTCAATTCTTTGCAACTTTCACCCACTCAAGGAGTAGAATGAAGTTAGGTTTATAGTTTTAGACGACAAAGTATAATTTATCAAACCATACATATATAGGGTCCCAAAATAGATTTGTATTTAAGAAATCTTCATATTCTCTACGCCATTTTTGTTCATATTTTCGCTCTTCATGGAGGTATAACGAAACTTAGTCATACCCGAGTGATTATGTAATGAATTTTGACTAAAATTGTTGAATTAAGATGGATATTATGACACTTATCCCATGGAATTTAGTTGTACCGTGTTTGTGTGTGTGGTGGTACTTGATACTATTGCATTGGGTGAGTGTTAGCTCATGTTATAAGATCGAGCCCCATAAAATGATCAAAGATATTGAATTACTATCAAACTTGATTAGTATGATCGATCCCACTTTAATA